GGAGGCACACAGAATTTACATACATACACACTCTATATGAACAAGTGGAATGGATTGGATAACGACGCACCAAAGAGGATCTCTACCTTACACTATAATTTAAAGGGAAACTGACAGATTTATGATCATATATTTTAGTTAATAATGAAATATTAAATGGTTATTTATTGTGACCACATCATATTGAATTTTAGTAAAAAAAATTTAAACAATTTTTTACACCAAAATATTTTAGGGGGGCTTTAAATTATTTTAGGGGGGCTCCAGTCCCCCTAAAATAGGTGTAGTGACGCCAATGATCCAAAGCAATAGATGGTTTTCATTGACTTCATCATCTGGGACTTTTTTACCCTCCGCACCTTGTTTGTTGGCTACTATTTAGCTTGTAGTGATAAAACCAGTATGGGAGAACCACAAAAGCAGGGGAGAAAAWATGCAAAAAGGCCACTGAACGATTCAGACGAGCATGACCAGGATAATAATACTTTGTCTTTAAAACGTGCCTTTCAGGACATCCATGGATCTACTGAATAATAAATCTAAATCAAAGGTATTTAGCTTTATTGAAAGTAACGATCCTTACAAGTGTTGACATGACTCTGTGTGACTTTCTCTGATATTATATTTCATACTCCAAATGTGTACATACTGCACAATACAGAGCTTTTTGTGATTATAATCTGATACTATCAGTGTATCCTACGTTCGTGTTTACAAGAGTAGATTGCACAATATTCCTAACACTTTTCTGTTCATTGTGCGCAATCTTTTTCTTTTTTTTTTTTTAGTTAACTACCGTACTATGCAGTCTCCAACCATGGTTAGAGACTGCATAGGAGTAGGAGTGATCTGAACACTCTGGAATCCCGAGGAGTGTGAAATCTTTGTGATTGATTATCGCCAGCCACAAAATCACATCGCTTTGCCAACAGTTCTACTTCTCCTTGGTGTTTTTTTTTTTCCTTGGGTGTTTTTACGCCGGCTGTGTTTTTTTTAAGAGCGTCTCTCTGCCACACAAGCAGCCCACAGATCAGAAAACCACAGAAAATGAGCTTATTTTGCAACCGATGTAACAACATTTTGTGGTTAACTGTCTCAAAAACAGGAGAGATCCAATAAAACTATCCATCCATCCATCCATCCATCCATCCATCCATCCATCCATCCATCCATCCAT